GAAATACCTCAACACCCTCATCTGTTCTTTCCCGGACGACCTTCACAAGTTTTTGAGACGGATCCTCGGAATACCATAGCTTGCTTCCTCTCAGGGTAAAGTGCTCTCCAACATCACTAGGTTTGATCGCTAACAAGGCACCATTAACGGCACCCAAGCGATCAATATAAATTTCCTCATCAAAGATGTAACGTAGAATCGGCCCCACTTTATCCATGCGTTCTTTGACCATCCTCCAGTATCCCGCTTGCTTATCTGGATCCAGACCTCGCTTCATCCATGTACACATCGCCTTCACATCCATCTCGTCGGGGCAATTCATGATGATTCGACTGGCTTGTACTTGCGTCTCCCACTCATCATAGTTGTCCAGGTTTGGCGATGACACCACAATCATGCCCCATCCGGTGGAGGGCGCAAAACCTGTGTCGGGCGGCGTTCCCTTCCTTGCCACATCGTAAATAATATACCCTTTCACCCCACGCTGCCACAAACCATCCAAAACATTCTTGGATGTTATCTCACCCTTGTATTTTTTCACGGTTTTGGTGGTCTTGTCAAACACGTACATCGTGATTCCAAAACAGTGGACAACCACTTGGAGTTTCTCCGCATCGTACTGCAGCAGCTGGTAGAGGAGGTACGAGCCGGCAGCCATCGACTTCCCAATCCCGGGCGTCCCAATCAGCACATGCGGCAAAGGTGAAGGATTGAGAGTCAAATCAAAATTGCTGAACCACGCGGTGAGATCGCGCTCGACGATCTGCCACACTCGATCCACCTCGCAGTTAACACACAAGTCATTGCCACACCCATGCGGCCCATTCATCGTGTACGGCCATCCCCTGTCCGAGGTGAGCACCATCAGTCTGGGAGGTGCTTCACCGGATTGCTGCACAGCGTCATCCTTTTCGAAGGTGTTGCCAGCTTTCTTGTACGTCCATGACTGTTTCGGTTTCCCCTCCTTCACCTCCATTCCCGTCCCCTGGCCACCAGGAACTTCCACGACATGATGCCACCTCGCATTGTACACAGACTCGTACAATCCCTCCAGCATTTCCACCCTTCAGCCACCTTCGTTGAATTCCGCGCCTGAGATAAGACGATTTATTATTTTCTTCTGCGTGAGAATCGATTATATGCCTGTTTTCTTGGTTGGATTGAGTTAAAGCCGAACACTAACCACTAATCAAAAAAGGAATAAGAGTAAGAAACAAAGGTCACAGGCATGACTGACAGCCTCAGCAATAGAGTCATCCACACAGTATTCGATAAAAACCACATGCACAGGACAACCGCAACGACGGCGAGTGAATGCCATCCACCCAGCACAGTGTTGGAGAGAGCAAACAATAACAACGTGGTGCGCACAGAGGGTTCGCCCACGCGTACCGCTCGCCACGGTTCCGCACCCGTGTGGCACCGCCGTCACCGCACACACTCTGCAGGAGGACGTGGGCATATCGTCACTGACACAAATACACAAAAGTGGGAAAAAAATTCGGTGCAGCAACGGCCACACGCAAGAACCCCTAATCATACATACCGCAACAGCGATGCATCACGGTAATCCCACACACAAAAGAAAAGAGTGCAACTTGCATGCTTTATGGAAAATATCTGCGGTGTGCATGGCAAAAGAGTGCCGTGACGCTGCCTTTCTTATTGCATTCGCCATTCACGTATCACTGGAAAGCACGCAGCCGCCACTCCTCCGTTCCGCTCCCCGTGCTGCTCGCGTCGCTTCACTGGAGGAAGTTGTCACCGCACATCCCCATCACCGTGCATTGCGGAATACAAATCTACCACACGGCATGGGTGCGGTGCCACCCCGCTAATAAATCCCAGGAAATTCCCCACTGCCTCGTGTGGCACGGACGGCAGTCTCATGATGCCTGCGAAAGGCTTTTTTTCCAAACAAGAACGCGGCCGCACCACACGCCCGTAAAAACGTTTGGTCCGTCGCACACAAAGGAGTTGAGCGGGAGAACAGCAGGAAAGGCAACACCGGCAAACATGAGCAGCCCGCACACGCAAACACACCGCTGCCCCGCATATCACCAAAAATAAAAATACCAAAGAAACATGTCACATCCCAACTGCAAATCGCAGGTGCGGTTGCAGCACACATTCCCACCTCCTGGGCGTGTGCGGCCCCTCGCTGCTCGGCGCTCTAAGTGAAATCACCAAAAGCACCAATTCAAGAAAATTCGACCACCGCCACAGCAGTCACGCTCCCCATTTCTCACAAAGGCGAAGGTTTGCAGTGGCGCAGCGGACGGCGGCATGCAAAGTCGCAGAGTAATGGACTGCCGCGGGAAGCACGCAACGGCGATGCGCCCCTCCTTTTGGGAAGCCCAACAAAAAACATGTGTCGCGCAGTTCCCGTGAACAACACACATTGAACCGTATTCAGCTCCACTACTGTGGTCATCCGCACTCACAGCATGAGTGTGACAACGCAGGCAAGGAAACACGGAATAACACCACGCATCCCTCCAATAAAGGTCAGGCGGCGTCCGTGCTGCTTTCAACAATAATTCCACCCCACATCGCCCTTCTGCATATCCGCAGCAAAAAGGCCCACACGGTGCACACTACATTAAAAGTTCCTAAAGCGCAAGCCGGATCATCAGAGCGCTGCCGTCTTCTCAACGTTGGGTAGAAGCTCCCTGATCCTTGTCGCCGCCAGCCTGCGGCATCATGGAGTGGCATTACATTCTCGGCATATCTCTCCATTTACTTCACTTTCTCGACACCGCAAATGAACTGACGTCCCACAAGTGATTTCGACCGTTCCGAAGAACGTGACGTGTCAGACGCGCTAAAACCGTGCGCGTGTGTTATTACGGGCGAGCGACACGATGCTCTTGCACATCCATGTATGCCGATCCTGCGCAACATCCCATTTGGCGGCGCGGAAAACGTTGGACACCAAAGACGCACAAATCGCACAATGAATGCCGCTGGAAAAAAAATAATAATAACGTCAACGCAGACACCGTGAACGAACAGATTAACAAAAGAAATCCAACCTCTGCGCGTCCTCCCGCAAAAAGGTGAAGACACACACGCTTGTTCCCTTTAATTTCACTCCAACTGCTCGGAATTGATGGGCCTATGGTAGGAGGAAACACGCCACTCTTCCCTCTCTCCCTGTCACGAGGCATGGACGCTGCGAGAGGCTGCCAATATGAGCCTCACGTGTGTGGAGGACCTCAATACTCGGGGCAGGTCGACAGCCACCCACACTCACCCACACTCACAAAAGGGCAAAGGCAAAGGCATGGAGAAGAGAAGCCCGCCGCACGGTGCATTCAAGAGGGCACACGCAGAAGCACCGCCATCCACATCGTACCGCAAAACAGCAATGCGAACAGCACACACCCACAGCCGCAACAAGAGGAACGAGGCGCATCCAAGTCCACCACAGTCCTTTACTTACCTCTGCCCCGAAGGAATAGCGTTACGCCTCACAGCAGGTCGTGGCACCCCACACTCACAGTGAGGCACGGCGCACACCATCCACTCCCCTCAGAACGCACTCATCAGGGCGCCCAGTCACCCTCGCACCATCGCAATGGGGAACACAAACGATCGTCTTCGCGGAATATCGATGCCTCTAGTAGAAAAGAAAAAGTGATGAGGGAGTGTCAACTGCACGGCTAGCAGTGGGACACCCAATGGGACAAAAAGACACATAGTGGCATTCAGCACAGCAAATAATAAAACAAGCCGCAGCGAATTACCGAATACAGAAAAACAAGAAAAAAGGCGTAGGTTCAGCAGAAATAAATAAATAAATAAATAATAAAGAAAAAAAAAACTAAATCACCTCAGTGGACTTTCATTTCGTGTATCCCTCAGTGCAGCAAGAATTGTGCATCTCCATATGTTTCTTACAGAGAGGGGAAAAAAAGATCGCAGTGTTCCACGTGTCCATAAAAAATCCCTCACATTTCATGAGGCACTCGGCCTGCTCCTCCACCCCTCGTTTTGTACAGTCCGCGGGACTGCACAGCAATGAGGCCGGCACCGCGTGCGGTGCAACAAAAGCAAATAAAACAGGGGAGAAACACGTCATTCATGAAAGTGTGCAGCTAGCGGCAAACAAAAAATAAATTTAAAAAAATAGTAAAAAGGCAGGGGTTCTGACCCCTCCAACAAGGCACCAGCAGCACATTATATCCAGAGGTGAAAACAAAAGGGATAAATAAAAGGTCCTCAACGGAATGCATTGAGTCTTACTGAGAAGCTGCACACCCTTTTCCACGGAGAGTCGCGGCTCCACTCCCGCCGTCTCACACAGCCGAGAGCTGCAATGCCCAGAGCCCCAGAAGGAGAAGCAACAAGATCCGAGGCACACACACACGCACGGTGCCGTAGCCACTAAAGCCCTTCTCCAAAAAAGTGTTGTTCGTGGGCTGAGAGGCGTTTCTATCTTTGGAGCCACTGTCAGTTCCCGCTGGATCATCCGGCCCTTCAAGCATTTTCCCAGAAAGAGACTCTGGAGGGGCAAGGTTGCTGGCACCAACTTTTGCGGCTTCTTCCCGGGTCAATATGCGGTTGTACAGAAAGACACTCGTCACTGTCACATACTTGTTTTGGCTCCCGGTGTCGCTTGCACTGCTCCCATCTCCTCCAATGTAAAAGTGTGAATTCGCGCGTGGCCCCTTTCCTGAGGATGATGTCGTTTCAGCATCCCACGCACACTCACCATTGATCTATACGAAGGCCTTGTTGGCGGTCCTGCAGCGTGAGCATCACTCGCTATTCTTTGTTCAACTCCCAAAGGCCGGTGTTTTTTTTTGCATTGAACATCACACCCCAACTCCCTTCATGGCTGTGCGACAGCCAAAAGTGCACAGTTCAACCTGTTCCCTTCGCGCCAATTAAAGGGATACTCTTGACGCCTGCGTGTGTCTCGCAGATAGCCACCGTCGCCACAAGAGCAAAGTCGTAATTCACAAAGCCACAGTGATTATTATCCTTCCAACTGTTCACGGGTAACATTGCCCTGTGAATTCAGGCCCATTTGTGACATTCTTGCCATTCGTCACCGTTGCAATCACGCAACGGCACTCGTCGATCCACGTGTTGGCAGTGCCTGCGTTGGAAAGGTATTCAACCAGACCCACCGTACTTACGGGCGACGCGGAGAAGGAAGCGTCCACGTCCGCCCAATTACGGAGGATGGAAGTGGTCATCTGCAGCTCCTCCGTCAGGGGGACAGGAAACAGGCTGCTTTTCTCTTCATTGTGCCTCGCTCCCACAAGGTGCAACACACCATCCGAGTACAGCAGGGCGTTGGCAATCAGCTTACTCACAGCAGCGTCCATAGAAGCCGGTCCAACACAAAACACGCGTTTGCTGTCAGTCACCCAAACGTAGAGCGCATGGGCCTCATTCTCCCACCACGGGGAGCTCACTTTCCGAGCCTACAGCATGACGCTCTTTCCTCCAACGGTCGCAGTGACAATGGCTCCCACACGCAAGCCCTTTTCCCAAATATCCGATTGTGAATTTGCCCAAAAACCTGCAATTGCCCCGGGTACTTCCACCCACATTGCCCCCTTGTCACGTGACTCGTGCACTCTGCAGTACCGGCTCCCATAGCAATGAGTAATCACGAGAAGTTGTCCCTGCTCCCACTCGGCAATGAGAAGGTCAATGCAGTCCGCAGGAATAATGCCCCTTGAAAGCACCCAGCTGCTGCCGCCGTCCGTCGAACAGATGATCATGGAGAAATCGTCTTTTTCTTCATTATACGCAGCCACCTGGATTTTCTCCGCATCGCAGTGCAGCAGCTGGTAGAGGAGGTACGAACCGGCAGCCATCGAATTCCCAATCCGGGCGTCCCAATCAACAGACGCGGCAAAGGTGAAGAATTGAGAGTCAAGTCAGAGTTGCTGAACCACTTGGTTAGTTCGTCCTTGACGGTCTGCCACACTCGCTCCACCTGACAGTTCACGTAGCAGTCACGAGTGAATTCTGCCCCCTTCCGATTCCACGAGTACGGCCATCCCTTCTCCGAGGTGAGCACCATCAGCCTGGGACGCGCTGCACCGGGTTCCTCCACACCGTTATCCTTTCGAGAGTTTCGCCAACTGCATTGTAAGTCCATGACTGCGGTGGTTTCACCCTCCTTCACCTCCATTACCGTCCCCTCGCCGCCAGGAACTTCCACGACATGATGCCACCTCACATTGTACACAGACTCGTAGCATCCCTCCAGTTTATTCGATGCACTCATCCTCATTGAGTTCCTCACGCCTTCAAGGAATGCATTCAAAAAATGTTTAGTGATGTCACGAACACTTGCTTTTACCTCCGCAGCAGCTTCTAGCCAGTCGATTAGGGTATTTACACCATTCTCTTCAAGCTTGCGTACATCTTCATCAAAAACCACTTTATTCCCTAGATCATTCCTGACCCTCTCGTAATGAGATGATGCGTGTATCTCGTCCAATACTCCTTCAACACGGATATACCTCGTGGGGTCCTTTAAGAACTCCCTCAGCAAAACATTCCTATTCGTGTCCACAACGCCCCTGCCGCCAAGATTCTGCCAAAGAAAATCACTCAGCTTCATGTTGGTGCTGCGAGCCATTGCCTCCAGCGGCACATCTTCCACACGACTGTCAAGAGTCCACTGTGGTTGCCGCGCTTCCTCCATTCTTCTGCGAGTCGCAGCGAGTTGATCTGTGCCACCCTCAAGCACCGGCCTCGCTCTCCTCCGACAATTTCCTTGCGGCACAGTGGGCGCGGGACCCTCCCCATTGCCACCGTGCACTGTCTCGGACCTCCCAGGCATTGTTTCTCCTTGCTTTCTTAGTTTGATTCAGCTAAAGCTGAACACTAACCAACAACCAAAAAGAAGAATAAAACAAATAGGCACAGACACGACAGGCAGTAAGGCAAATAAGAGATCTATCCACACGGTGTGTGATGCACGCCACATGCACAAGGACCACCGCAACGACGGCAAGTTGGTACCATGCACCAAGCACAGTGTTGGTGGGTGCCAACAATAACAGCAGCGTGGTGGGCACGGAGAGTTCGCTCACGCATTCCGCTCGCTGCGGTCTCACATCCGTGTGGCAGCGCCGTCACCGCACACACTCCACAATAATACATGCGCGCATATCGTCCCTGACACACACACAAACACAAAAAAGTGGGAAGGAGATTCGGTAAAGCAGCGGCCACACGCAGGGATCACAGATCATACACGCCACAACAGCGGTGCATCACGGTAATACCACGCAGAACAAAGAAAAATTGCACGTCTTATGGAATATCCCCGCAATTCGCACAGCACAAAAGAACCATAACGCTCCCTTTCTCATTGCATTCGCCATTCATATTCCCAATGCGTAGCACCACAGATAATGCCCTCCGTGGTGAAAACGAATGCCTTGTTGTGGTGTCATCGCGTAGCCATCCGCCTGGGTGGGAAAAAGAGTAAAAACAGGCGTCCGTCCGCCTGAAAGGAAGAGGGACTCAGCCGCAGTGTCCTCCACGACGCAAACACTCCGCGGCCAGTGCCCGGTGTCTTGTGCGGAGTCTGCGAGGAGGTTTTGGGCACGCCGCTGTGCCACACGGTGTGCCCCCTCCGAACGCAACAGCAAAAGTGTCCCCTTCCGGCCGCACTCGTGGCGGTGGCGGCATCCGCTGCCTCGCTGCGTGCTGGTGGCATCGACTACAATCCTGTAGTGTGATAGAGGGTGCCCGGCAGAAGCGGTGCTGGGCTGGGTGGGCAATCTCCTCCGCGGCGAGACGCCCAGCGCGACCCTTGACCGCTGCACTCACGCAATTCCCTCCACTCCTCTCCCTCCATTCGGCAACCGCTCTGCCGCCAGCACACATAACTTCGCACAGCCGGAGAACCCCGTCTTCAAATCCAAGGCAGGAAAGACATGTCGGCACGTGCAGCTGCTGGGCGGGAGCCTAACCGCATTCTTCCCAGGCACCCTCAACACCACACCACTCACCTGCCTGCACGCCGCCAACATCACACCAGAACGTGTCAACAAGACACATCGCAGGCTCCCGCCATCCCTCCTCGCAACTCCACCGCAGCCACAATCGCGTGTGTGTGTCTGTGTCTGTGCGTGCGTCCTCAGCGTTCACGCCGCTCCAAAGCGACAACGACATGGCGTGTGTGTGTGTTCGTGTGTATGTATGTATGCACGTACTTGCGTGTTTGTCAGCGCCTATACTTGCAGAGCAGCTGTGCGCCACAAGAGAGTCTGAAGAAAGCAACGGCAGAGAGAGGCGGATAGCACACACGCAAATTACTCATATCATCACACACACACACACGCAGCCGCGGAATGGGTGCACTCAACCACAAAATCAAAAAGGAAAACAAAACAAAAAGCCGAAGCGTGGGACGACCAGCGCACACACACTCTCATTACTCCCGTAAAGCAAAACACACACACAGAGGGAGAGAGAGAGAGAGGTCGCCCACTCAATGCAATAAAAACAAAACAGAAACAGTTACGGTGCTCCGCCCATGCAGCCAGGCAGGACGGCAGCGGTGCGTGTCGTGCAAAAGAGAGCACCAACGGGCCTGCATGGGTGTGCATGCATATATACAATGGGCACATTATTGTGTGTGTCTCGTGGGGTGAGGTGAGGGCGAGAGTCCATGCAAGGGGACACACACACACAGAGAGAGAAGGAAGAGTGTGTGTGCGGGCGGTGCATGGCTCTCTCACACTCACTCTCACGCGGCCACCACCGCAGCCGCAGCAGCACACGCAACAACAAGAAGAAGCAAAAGAGGGGAGGTGGTGTGGGAGACCGCGGTGCTGCCGTCACTGTCGCCAGGCGTCCCAGTATCATTTGCTTGAGCGACTGTGGCCGTCACTAGTGCTTGTGGCGCTGCCTCACCGACTGTAAGAGCAACATCAGTATTAGCGGTTTCGGAGCCGTCCTGTGGTTCGTTGTTTGCCTCCTCCACTTTCCTTTCTTCGTTTTCTTTTTCTTCCTTCCCTGCCTTATCGGAGGATTCCCCATTTCCTCTTTCAGCCCCATTTTTTCCTTTCTCCGTTGTTTCTTTTCGGATAACATCTTCATTTGCGGTTGCTTTTTTAGCTTCTTTTAGTGCCTCTTTTTTCATTTCCTCCCGTGTTGCTGGTGGTGCTGCTTCGTTTGATTTTGCTTCGTCTATTGCCTGTTGTTTTCCCGCATCGGTTTGGTCTGCTCCTTCTTTTAGACCTTCAGTTTCCATTAAGTCTGCACCTGTTTCGTGAGTTAATTTCGCTGATTCCTTCTCTGCACCTTGTAATCCTGCTCCTTCTGGAACTCTCGTTTCACCAGCACCTCCTTTTCCCCCAGACCTGCCATTATTCAACGTGAGACTTCTCTCCTGGCGCTCAACGTCAACGGGTGCAGCAAGCTGAACAATTGCATGATCGTCAAGGGAATTATCGCCAACAACATCGCCATCCCGCCCTTCTTTTTTATTGGTTCCTGCTTCCAAGTCTTCTTCCTCCTCATCGTAATCATCCCCTGGACTCTCGGTACTTGCATTATCATCCTCGCCGTTATCGTTAACTTCATCTTCATTTCCTTCCTCCGCTGATTTTTTCTTCTCCTTTTCCTTTTCTTGGTCGTTTATTATTTCTTCAGTTCTGTTTTTCACCAACTCAGGAGCCTCTGGAGGTCTCGTTAACGTCTCTTCTTCTGCAGTTGCTTTATCGGATATTCCTGTATCAGACCTCAGCGATGGTTCCAATCGTTGTCCACCCGTCACACCAGCGCCAGACCCTATCTGGCCTTGTAGAGAAGATTCGGGGGTACTGTCATTCTCAAAAGGGCCATCAGCAGCAGCAACGGCATACCGGTGACGCCCCCAACGACGACGGCCATCCGCAACGGCACGCACACCGTCCATCCACTGACGCACGCATTCCTCAACGGCGGACGCATTCGCACAGCCTCCTGTCCTCCTGTTGACCTTCTCCACGCATTTCCTGCGCAGATGAGCACGCCACCGAAATATCAAATACTCACCCGCACCGCCATCTCCTTCAGCACCGTCGGCCGCCGACGCCACCACCGCAGCACCGCACCACAGCACGCAGAGGGCACACGCCAGCAGCACACGGCCAGTCATCATCGCCATCACTCCTGTCACTTGCGTATAGCCTTCAGCACAAACTAACACCCCGTCAACGCAGAGCGAGAGCAAAAGGAAAGAGATGCGGTCGCTACACCAATCACCGGTGCCTCTTACGACAAGAGTCACGCACCACCACAAGCACAACAATTAGGTGGGCGCGGTGCAACAACACACACACACAAAAAAAGCAATCATCACCCGCCCCTTCCTCAAACTCCCACAGTCACCTTCAGCGTTGCTTCTTCAGCACACACTCAACGGCACGCCATGCTCATCTCAACACGCGCACCGCCAGGCGCTCCGTAAATCTGCCACCGCCTCCAGTTTAATCCCACGGTCAGTGGGTTACGGCAAAACCCGCGGCCACGACACAACGCACACGGAGCGAGCACCCACCACACCAGCCACACGCGCAAGCGAACCCTCATCCATCCATGACGCGGCAAAAAAATATTCTGCCATTCCGCCCTCAATGGGATGCAAAGCCCAAATCAACGCAGTCACACGCGGTGCTCCACACCCGCAGGAAAAGGCCCGTGGTGCGCGCTCCCTCTCCCCTCCTTCATTCTCCTCATGGCCACGGAAGAAGACAACAGTCGCCACACGCAACTGCCAGCACGCACTGCGAAAGGAGCATTCAAATCCACTGCAATGTGCACTTATGTGTGCATGTGGTTGTGTGTGCCGGTAGAAACACAAAGCAAAGACGTAGAAAAAAGGGAGCAGAGCATGTGAAGAGACACACAAAAATGTACAGCAGAAGTGCATGGCGGAAGCAAATAAAAGAAGACCGCTCAAACTCATGACTGCACCGCAGCCCAAGCAGCGGCAATCCACACAATATTTATTTAAAACAAAGAAAACGATCCCTTTCGTCTTATATAAATCCCATCATACAAAATAATTACAAAAGAGAAATCGTCCATTACTGCTCCACACAAATTTAAAACACAAAAATTCACCTGGCTGCCGTGTGGCCACACCAAACTGTATGTATTTTGCCCACAAAATAAAATTAAAAAGATGGTTGCGTGTGCTTCAACCGTCCGACCCTCCACGTGTCCGCACATCGTTTATATTTCATGGGGTCATCTGCGTGTTGCTGCTCCCCTCAGCCCTCTCATCGGCGTGCGAGTGCGGCCCGCAGAGCACAGTCACTCGTATATGTGTGGGGACTGAGAGAAGCACGCAGACATGACGGCAGTCGCGTCACTCCATCGGGAGAGTGAGCGCAGCAAAAGAAAAAAGGCAGGAGGGAAAGAAATATGTGCGCCGCCCCACAGGCCCTCGTCGCACGCCCACACGTCACGGCTCCCTCAGCGCGACGTTCGTCGCGGCCCCTCCTCATGCGTGCAGCAGGCGAGGCGCACAGGACCGTCGTCATGAGCGTGTCGGTGGGTGTGCGAGGGGAGCAGTTGGGCGGCAAACACACGGCACCCCTCACAGGAAGAGCGCAGAAGAAACAATTTAAAAGAGTAGAAAAGAAAAAATCACTTCTTTAGTGGTTGCCCTAAAGCAAAAAAAAAAGAGGATGGAGAATGAAAAATAAAATTAAAAATTTAACCAATTTAAACCATTAAAAATGAATAAAAAAACCGTTCATATTGGTTGCCCCAAGGCAAAAAGCAAAGAAAGGGGGAGAGAGAAAAAAAACAGAATTGCGGTGAGTAATTCATTAC